TTTTTTTGTAAAGAATAAAACTGGGTATTTTTAAAAAGCATAAGAGACTAGGAATCGTGTGCATTGGATGAAGATAATTCTCTTTCTCTCTTCCTTTTAGACTAGTTCATAAACTACAAAATAGACACCACTGATATTTCTACATGTGCATCCAAGTAAGAGCTATAGCAAAATGAGCTGTGAAGTGAAAATGTACATATCTAACCCCATTTTCCCCTGCACACCTGGTAATGAGGCCTTTTGGTATTTTCATCAGTAAAATGCAGGAATGCTCTTACAATGTGGCTATGAGAAGTAAGAGAGAAAATGCACATAAAATGCTTAGTCCAGCATCCAGCACAGAGGGAAGGTTCATTGAGTGCTAGCTGTTATTATCAGGCCAGCTTGTTTGCACACATGCTCAGAGCTGGAAAGATCTTTTAATCTATTAAAAACCTGCTTTTCTCTAGATGAAGAAACCAAAGCTCTAAGAGTAAGAGTCTTACCCACTAGTGCATAGCTACTGGCATGGCCAAAGCAGGCACCAGTATTTCTAAAGCACAAACCACTATTCTCTTTACCACTCTGTGATGTTGTTTTCTTTCCCCCCACCCCTCACTGAAATGCAGGACCAAGAAAGCCCTAAGATTCAGAATAGTCCAGTCATCTCAAAGGGGTGAGTTATGCCTAACTAGACCCACAGAATAGGAAGGTTTAGTTATCAAGATTGAGTCTGTGAAAGTAATCTGATTATTAGATAGCTGATTGCTTTCCTATCTTTTTTTTTTTTTTTTTTTTTGGTGGTGGTGGTAAGAAGGACATTTATCTCCCATCTTAGGTGGTTTCTTTTGTTTCTCTTATGTTCAATCACTTTATTCCAGGAAGTAAACACAACTAGTAGGCAGTGTTTCAGATTCTGTTTGGAGAGAGCTAGCTATGAATAATGAATAGATTTAAATTTCTATTCTTTTAAGAGGGTGGGGTGGCTGGGACTCCAAAGACAAACAGCTACTTTCCTCGTATGGAATGTAAAGCTGAAAGAGTAGTATGTCAGAAAGAGAGCACTGTAATCCCTCCTGGGCTCCATCCTATCCAAATGCCATCCCTCTAAATCACGACAATCTTTTTAACCTTAAATCCCCACCCCCTTTTTTACATATACATGTGTTTGAGTATATTTTAAGAGAAGTTGTATATTCTCTCCCACACAATTATTTCCCAATAATTCTCCATCCACATCTATTTATAAAACTAAGAATAATATGAAGATTAAAAAAAAGGTCAATGTTTGCTAAACATGAGATTTCACTACAAATAATCTCTTACAGTAAATAATGAGACAATGGTAGGGCTCTTTGCTTGGTGTTACCTCAAATTCCTTTTAGCCACATTGGCATTCTGTCCATGAAACACGAGTATAGCGATGACTTCATTCTTCAGGATGAAGGATAATTGATCTCAACCTTCCTTCCTATCACTTTCCCTTAACTCAAAGCGCTAATGCTATTGAAGGCAGAGATAAATAAAATTTCTGTAGGGAAAGAATGACATTGAGGAAGCTAGCCTCAAAGTTACCACCAAAAGGGACAAAGTACATGTTTCAGGGTCTCAACTCACGAAACCTCTGCCCCACAGCTTGGATGGAAAGCTGCCAAAAAAAATTTTAAGGGAAATTCAAACTTTGAAGGACATAAAGGTTTTCTTCCCCAGTTGTTAAAGGAAGTTAAAAACCATGTAACATTAAACAAAATCACAGCAATTCAAAATGAAACACTGCTCAAAAGCATATTATTTACACTGAACTTATAACATGATTTTTTAT